AAATTTTTAAGAGTTGTGTTGATACTTGATTCTATTAAGTAGAACGTTTTTTAACAAAATTATTCCGTCATATATACATCGTTATTTTTTGGTTGATGATGTTTGTTTGGAAGAGGATTGACAGAGTTAGATGAGGATGGTTCACGCATATCGGACCAGAGTTGTTTTATATGAACATCGTAGTTGGTTTACGCATTAATTGAAATAACTGTCCGCTGTGGTCGAGTTCATGTTTTTTATCCCGATCGATAGTTGGTTTATTTGTTTATAACAGCCGATTTAAGTGTGCTGGGTAGTACATTAAAATATAGTTCGTAGTCTTTTTTAAATTAGCGTATGGATTTTGCATTTTAAGTTTATTTTTGATGATATTAATGTATTGTCATTCAAATGTATTTGCAGTCTATTTAATCATTTTTTAGTATTTTGCATTTTTAATTTTGTTTCATGATTTTAGGTTTTTTCGATGGCGAATTTCGTACGGATTTTGTTGAGGTTTGGTGGGTTGGTTGCTATAAAGAGGTGTTTACGATGTAATGGCTCGGTAACTTCGGTTAAGTTTTAAACCGTTGTAATATAGTAGTATACTATTATGAATACCGTATGATACTACCATTATCATTTTATTATACTATTATGAGATTATTAATGTACTAGAGTTTTTTAACTCGACATATTGGTTTGATTGTGTTATGATGTGTTTTATGTATTTTATCAAAACCCTAGATTGTAATTATGGGATTATTAATGTACTATTTTATTGGTTATGTTGGAATACTTTACGTTGGTGTTGTTCTCAATGTTCTTGTCATTTCAGTGGTATATTGTTTGTAACACAATTCATATCACTACTATAACCGTAATATACTATCATAGCAGATCAATGTACTATATTGAAATTATTAATATACTATGTGATTGAATAATACTGGATCCATAGTCGATTAACGAGATCCATAGTCGAATTAGATCAATAAGATAGTCTATTACATGATATAAGGAAAATTACCCTAATTGATTAGTATTTCAAACAAACATATTATTCAGTTTCCATGTATATTATTATTTTTTCATATATATTATTATTTACCTTAATCATTTTCATATAATAAGGAAAATTACCCTAATTGATTAGTATTTCAAACAAACATATTATTCAGTTTTCATATATATTATTATTTTTCCAATAGTCAATTAACTAAACTCATAGTCGAATTAGATACATGGGATATTCTATTAAAAGATATGAGATAGTCTATTAATTTTAAAACACAAATCCGCCGCCGTCACTTCTCAAATCTAGGGTTTTGATGATTCTTCGGCCCATAGTCGATTAACGAGATCCATAGTAAAATTATACCACTGAGATAGTCTATTAAATGATATGGGATAGTATATTAATACAGATGTAATTCGACTATGCATCTCGTTAATCAACTATGGGCCGAAGAATTATCAAAACCCTAAATTTGAGTAATCCTAGATTTGAGTAACCCTAGATTGGAGCAGTGACGGCGACGGCGACGGCGGTGGCCAACGACGATATCACTTCTGGTGGATGTCCTGCCCATCAATTGTTGCAATATCACTGATTTAGTGCTCGAATTTGGTATGCGATTATAACAAATCTGCAATTACACAAACGTGATAGTCGATTTAGCCAAAACATATCAACAAATCGATGCATGATAGCGATTCAGCGAGTGGAGACGACGTACCTACGACAGCTTGCTCGGAGTGCACGAAAATCGTCGTTTCACGGCAGTGCAGACGTCTTCCCCTTTCAATCGGCCGTACTGGGAAGTTGTTCTGGAAGGTTTTGCAGTTTATTCGATAGTGGGTTTGGGATGATAGTGATTTAACGGGAAAATAGGAAGGGATTTGATTTTATTTCAAAAGGTAAAGTAACGGGTTTTGTGGGATTTGATTGAGGGTAATTATGTAATTAAGAAAAGTTTGGGCTGTTATCAAAACGGCAAATATAAATTTGGGTCTACCCCTATTATTTGTATATATATATATATATATATATATATATATATATATATATATATATATATATATATATATATATATATATATATATATATATATATATATATATATATATATATATATATATATATATATATATATATATATATATATATATTACAATATTAATGTTAATGTGAATCACAATTCACAATACATATTACTGGTAAAAGGATTTAGCCGTTTAATTAAAAAATTTATTTATTTATTTTTTGTTACAATTGTTTAGCTGTTTGTTATTTTGAGACAAGTTAATTGCATGTCATTTGTCGTAATGTGTCCGTGTCGTTAAATAAATCACGAAGTAACAGGAAAATCTTAAATATTCATCTCAGGCAAAATTTATACAATCCAAAAACTGTAACCTACTCTTCTTTTTTTTTAGAGAACCTACTCTTCTTTTGTAAGCAACATATATAGTAAATCAAGTGTTTAATGGTTAATTCCCATTTAATAAAAAAAAAGGAAAAACGGGGATGTGTGTAGTGGAAAGAACAATTTTGGAATTATAAAAGAAGGGAAATATGTGTTGTACCTTTCCGTATAACAAAAGAAGATTTGGGGGGTTTTTCCAAAAAAAATTATTGTCATGCCATACATGCATGCATAAAATTAAGAAACTACATACCAAATATAAATTATTGTGGTTGTTGGAAATAGAATCTATGCCAAAAAGGAAACAAAAAATCAAAAGCACAATCTATTACTCAAGATGATGGTTCTCATTTCAAAAATATTGGCCATGCTGCCTAAGATACAAAATAATACCTAAAAATAAATAATCAAAATTGGTCTATATATACATTGAATTACTATCATCAAATATGAAATTAAATACGTACTTGAAAAAAAAGTAGAAACGATCGAATATCGAAGAAAAGATCGAAGAGATGTCGGGAGAGAGAGATGAAGAAGCTGGTTGGGATATGGTTGCCGACGCACAAGTTGGAGGACGAGCCATCTTCTTACTTAGTTTGCTGCAGGTAATTACTTATATAAAAAAAAATTAAAAAAAATATTCCATCAATATATATTTATATTCAATAATTTTGTACAAAAAAAAATTATTTATTATTTATATGAATCAGGTGATTGTGGCATGTGTGACAATGGGTGTGGAGATCTCACTGATAATGGGAGTAGGTGGGCCGAAGCATCGAACAAGTTTGTTGTGGGTGTCGCCGTTCACATCAATTATCTCGTTGTGTTTGGTTTTGTGTCGTTATCGAGTTGACAATAACCCGATGATGACGTGGATTGGTTATGCTATGACGGTTGGCTTCTCTGTGCTGCACATGACTAGTAGCTCGTTCCACTTGCTGAAGGCGCTCAACGGTTGGAAATTGAAATTTTTTTTAATCAACTATCCGCTTATTTACGCCGTATGCATCTTGGTTTCTGTCATTATTAGCCTCTCTTATTTGGTAGAAACCGGCTAGGATTAACTCATTAGGCGTGCTACCGCTAGTTTTCGTTTCAGTACTTTTCAATGTCGTTTATGTTTTTCTCCTGATTGAATTTTAGAATTTTAGTCTTATTTTTTCTCTTGATTGAATTTTAGTCTTACATTCCATCTAATTAATTTAGGCCTTTCTATTATGAGAAATTAAATAAACTTTAGATGGGTGTTGTCGTCCACCCACCTGATTTAATATATATACTTATTTTGCGGAGAGTTAGATGCTACGTCTCTTGTCATATATATATATACACCGGGTGCCTATTTTGCTTGTCGAGAGTTTTCACTATTGCAATATTATTATAAAAATAATTAAAATTAGGTGATGTTAAGTGAGGACTAGCTTTGTATAAAAAAAAAGGCTCGGAATGAAAGTTTAATTAGCCCACTTGAATACATTTCTCTTTCTAACAAATTGAATGGAACAAAAGGTTGGTTATTAGGTCTTATTTTGAGATTAAATTTTTTTTTTTCTAAAACTTGTGGAAAATGTTAACAAAATTAAATCGGTGCAAAATCAATTAGCTGCACAAAATTGAATACACCTGGAATTGTGGTGTCAAGAGTAAACGACAAACCTGAATTTCGATTTGATTTCACAATATGCTAAATAGTAGTGACGTACGCATTCCAAGAATCTTGCTGTTGAAAGCTTACAGCCTCTTCGTACTTAATATCTCGTCCGACAGAGAATCCATCCATGCACCGGATATCCGAATATTACAAATCCAAAAGTGAACCGAGCTAAATCCGGTTGATTTCGTCGAGGTTGGAACCAACCAATTTCGATTCGAGGGGCTGCACTGCCAAATGTATTACATCCTTGTACACTATTGCATTTATACATGAATTGGTACATTACCAGCTGAAGTACGATACTCCATCCGTTTCAATCACTAAATTTTGGCACACATATTAAGAAAGATAATAAATATGCACATATATTAGAAAGATAAAAACACTAAACATGACAAAAATACCCTTGCCACTAATTCTCATTCCATTAATTGTTTCCATTATTTCTGAAAATTAATGATTGAGATAAGATAGGAGTAATAAGGGCAAAATTGGAAACGGGGTAATTACTAATTAGTGGAATTGGAATTCTAAGGTGATAGATAATACGGAACAAAAGATTATCAACTCAACATTCCTCGTGTCACATTCATGATTCAACCATACAATAATTATAATGACCAAGAAATTAGGCAAATGCAGTGACATTATTCCCGATTTTAACTTATAATATGCCTATAAACCTAAAAAAATCTATATATAATATATAAAAAAATATGTAGTCTCAATCAATAACATGACAATTTTTGCTAATATATAATATAAATAAGATGAATATTTTCTTCACAATTACAAAATCTAACATGTAGGGATATATAAAGGATCGAATGAAAAAAAAAAAATACACCTAATTATATATAAGCCACAACCACCATGAGAATACTAAATTGAATTAGAGTGACTCTCAGACGAGGAAGATAAGATGTAAATACTATTGGGACACCACCAATTGAAGATGATTATCATGATGATGAGGTGTAACTACCGCTGCTGGTGATGCTTCGTTATCTTGAATACGTTCGAAAATGGCGTTGGCTTCGATATGGTCGAATAATAAACTGACTAACATGTTCCGACTCCACGCGCGCACGCAGCTTTGGCACCCACTATGGAGTAAAACCATCACAATAACTTTTTCGACGATGAGAATAAAACAAACCGTGGCCATAACAACTGCAGCGACAGCCATAGGAAGAACCTCCGGTTTTTTAAATTTTTTTACGAGAAAAGTCATAGAGAGAGCGAGAAATATCGACCCGATGAAAACCACAATCCGGATGTCCATATAAATGTAATACTCGTTCATCAACTCTATCTTTGTATCTGAATCTGCAGTACGTACACATAAAACATCAAATTTATATATACATATTATTGTAGTGTACGTACTGTACTTGGTGCATCCATGCATGCATGTTTAACTCACCAATATTAATCACCACTGAGTTTGCTCTATTTGCTGTTGAGGTATCTGTGTACGAATGAAGAATATATTAAGTAATATGGTAAATGGTATATAGCTACTCATGATGAGTTATAACTAGTAGATATAGTTAAATTGAATTAATTACCGTGAGACGAGCGATGTCGTCTAGTTTGGAGAATATCGTCGCGATAGACAGTGCCGTATAATAAGCTGACAAGTGTGTTCCGACTCCATGCGCTCAAGATATCAAAACGTCCAATATGTAGCAAATACGTAAAATAAGCTTTTCCGACTCCCTGAATAACACTAATCGCGGCCAACACGGTTCCGAGGGCAAGCACATAAGCATATAGTTTGTTGAATAATATTAGTCCATACGCCGAAGTCGAAACAATTAGCATTGAGATCAAAAATTCCCAAAGCATCTTATACAGCATATGCCAATTCTCTTTCATTAACTCCCCTTTAGCTTTTGAATCTGCACCATCAACATAAATCCCGATTAATAATTAATTATTAATCGTTGTTTAATTTAATTTAATTAATTAGCGATTAACGGCTTACCAATCACAAGCGAGGAGGAGATTGGCCTTGTTGTTGTTATTGTAAGGTTTCCCGCCATTGTGTGTGCAGTACTGCTGTGTTATCAAGAATTGCAGATTTTTGTTAATCTAATTTGGACAAGAAGAAAAATTATTGGATTTTCCTAGAGATTAATGGCAATCATGAACACATACAGCGTAGTATATATATATATATATATGTATATATATATATATATATATATATATATATATATATATATATATATATATATATATATATATATATTGGCACATATTTTTCCTTTTGGTACGTATTTAATTTCTCATATTTAATTATCAAAAAAACAATTTTAATTTATGCATGATAATAATATCAATTCTTACCATATAAAATAGTGAAATATGTGTTGTACCTTTCCAAAAAAAATTAATTGCCATGGCATGCATGCATGCGTAAAATTAAGAAACTACGTACCAAATATAATTCACGTAGAATAATAAATTAAGAAACTACGTACCAAATATAATTCACGTAGAATAATTGTGGTTGTTGGAAATAGAATCTATGCCAAAAAGGAAACAAAAAATCGAAAGCAAATCTACTACTCAAGTTGATGGTTCTCATTCCAAAAATATTGGTCATGCTGCCTAAGATACAAAATAATACCTAAAAATAGATAATCAAAATTGGTCTATATATACACTGAATTACTATCATCAATCAAATTAAATACGTACTCAAAAAAAAAAGTAGAAAATATCGAAAAAAAGGAGTAAAGATCGAAGAGATGGCGGGAGAGGGAGACAAAGAAGCGGGTTGGGAGCGTCCACATATGGTTGAAATGGCGGGTTGGGACCGTCCACATATGGTTGAAATGGCGGGATGGGAGCGTCCACATATGGTTGAAGAGATGGGTTGGGAGCGTCCACATATGGTTGAAATGGCGGGTTGGGAGCGTCCACATATGGTTGAAATGGCGGGATGGGAGCGTCCACATATGGTTGAAGAGATGGCGGGAGCGGGAGATGAGAAGCTGGTTCTGAACGTCCACAGATGGTTGAAGAGATGGCGGGAGAGGGAGATGAAGAAGCTGGTTGGGAGCGTCCACAGATGGTTGCCGGAGCACAAGTCGGAGGACGAGCCATGTTCTTACTTAGTTTGTTGCAGGTAATTACTTATCAAAAAAAATTCCATCGATATATATTTATATTCAATAATTTTGTAAAAAAAAACTATTTATTATTTATATGAATCATCAGGTGATTGTGGCATGTGTGACAATGGGTGTGGAGATCTTATTGGTAATGGGAGTAGATGGGGCAAAGCATCGAACAAGTTTGTTGTGGGTGGCGCCGTTCACATCAACTATCTCGGTGTGTTTGGTTTTGTGTCGTTATCGAGTTGACAATAACCCGATGATGACGTGTTTTGGTTATACTATGACGGTTGGCTTCTCTGTGCTGCACATAGTAAGCAGCACGTTCCACTTGCTGAACGCGCTCAACGGTTGGAAATTGAAGAATTTTTTAATCAACTATCCGCTTATTTACGCCGTATGCGTCTTGGTTTCTGTCATTATCAACCTTTCTTGTTTGGTAGAACGCGGCTAGGATTATTAACTCAACGATCGGCCATCTGCATGTTGTTATGCGTGCTACCGTTATTTTTTCGTTTTCAGTACTTTCCAATTTCGTTTATGTTTTTCTCTTGATTGAATTTTAGTTTCATATTTTTTCTCTTGATTGAATTTTAGTCTTTTATTTTTCTCTTGATTGAATTTTGGTCTTATTTTTCTCTCGATTGAATTTTAGTCTTACATTCCATCTAATTTATTTACGCCTTTCTATGTATTATGAGAAATTAAATAAACTTTTCCCAACCATTATAATTACATCTACACACAGATACGTATTTAATAAACTATATAGACATGACAGAAATACAAGAATTGCGTGGAAATAATGATATAAAAAATTAAACAAAAATAATGGAGCAGAGTTCAAACAATACTAGAGCTGAGATAAAAAAAGGTTAGGAGATTTAATTTAAAAAAAATACATATATATGCTCATGTAGAAAATGTTAACAAAAATCGATGCAAAATCAATTTACCTGCACAAATATAATTGAATACACCTGGAATTGTGGTGGTGGGGAATTGAATAAATAATTAAGATCCCTGCCACAAATTAAGTGAGATCAAAGCAAAATCTTCAACTTCAGTTCATATATATTCTGATTCCAAATATTGGTCATACTCATACGTATAAGTTTAAAACATAAAAAAGTAAGCATTAACCATATATATATATATACTACTTTTTGGTGCAGGTGTATTATCTAGTTATTTTCTGGCCAGAATAATATAGAATGATACTTTTGGATGAAAAATTCAAACTATGGAACAAATATGGCATGCACGGGGGAAGCTAGGTGTAGTAGACGACGTAGTCGGTACTAATTAATTAATACGGCATACATAATATAATTAATTACCAACACCTATTTTCTTCATTTTAATTTGTGTATATATTGTAAGACCAAAACTAGTTTGACTACAGTCATATTCAACTATAGTCATATTTGTCGGGAAAAAAAAACAATTTTTTGTTTAAAAGAATTTAAGAAAATATTAATAAAATATAAAAAATAAAAAGTAATTAAAGAAGATTTGGGGGTTTTTTCCAAAAAAAATAATTGTCTTGCCATGCATGCATGAGTAAAATTAAGAAATTACGTACTAAATATAATTCACGTAGAATTATTGTAGTTGTTGGAAATAGAATCTATGCCAAAAAGGAAACAAAAAATCAAAAGCAGAATCTACTACTCAAGTTGATGGTTCTCATTCCAAAAATATGGTCATGCTGCCTAAGATACAAAATAATACCTAAAAATAGATAATCAAAATGGTCTATATATATACTGAATTACTATCATCAAATATCAAATTAAATACGTACTCGAAAAAAAGTAGAAAATATCGAAAAGAAAAGGAGGAGAAAAGATCGAAGAGATGGCGGGAGAGGGAGATGAAGAAGCTGGTTGGGAGCGTCCACAGATGGTTGCCGAAGCACAAGTTGGAGGACGAGCCATCTTCTTACTTAGTTTGCTGCAGATAATTACTTATCAAAAAAAAATTAAAAAGAAATATTCCATCAATATATATTTATATTCAATAATTTTGTAAAAAAAATTATTTACTATTTATATGAATCAGGTGATTGTGGCATGTGTGACAATGGGTGTGGAGATCTTATTGGTAATGGGAGTAGGTGGACCGAAGCATCGAACAAGTTTGTTATGGGTGTCGCCGTTCACATCAATTATCTCATTGTGTTTGGTTTTGTGTCGTTATCGAGTTGACAATAACCCGATGATGACGTGGTTTGGTTATGCTATGACGGTTGGCTTCTCTTTGCTGCACATAGGAAGCAGCACATTCCACTTGCTGAAGGCGCTCAACGGTTGGAAATTGAAATTTTTTTTAATCAACTATCCGCTTATTTACGCCGTATGCATCTTTGTTTCTGTCATTATCAACCTCTCTTGTTTGGTAGAAGGCGGCTAGCTAGGATTAACTCGACGATCGGCCATCTTTTGTTATGCGTGTTGCCGTTATTTTTCGTTTTCACTTTTCAATTTCGTTTATGTTTTTTCTCTTGGTTGAATTTTAGTTTTATTTTTCTCTTGATTGAATTTTAGTCTTATTTTTCTCTTTATTATATTGAATTTTAGTCTTACATTCCATCTAATTTATTTACGCGTTTCTATTATGAGAAATTAAATAAACTTTTTCCAACCATTATAATTACATCTACACACAATATAAATCTATCAATACGTAGTATAAAATAAATAATATAGACGTGACATACAAATTAATAATAACAATTAGTACAATAATTGCTTGGAAATAATGATATAAAAAGATAAACAAAAATATTGGAGCAGAGTTCAAACAATACTTGGAAGATAAGATCAGAATGGCACTAAGAATTTTATAAATCTGAGTGCGAAGAATTTCGTATTTTTGATAAAATCCCATAATAATTAATGGATATAATATATATTAACACCATGCATAATTAATTCCAGGAAAAGGGCATACATAATTAATTACCAACAGCTATTTTCTTCATTTTAATTTGTGTATATATTGTAAGAGCAAAACTAGTCGAGCTCCGAACAAGCTTCATGGCGGCGGTGGCGGCGCCACTGTCATCCGTGGTGTCGGTGTACCTGATGCACCTTAAGTACGTGTGTCGTCGCGACGAATGAGGTGAGAGAAAGAAGTCGCTACGAATGAGGTGCACAAGGGTTGGAAATTTGGGGATGCTACCTTGCATATTTTATTGAACCTAGCCCTGGGCACTTGACCATGCTTAAATTTTAATTTGAACCACTCTTCTAACTAATTTCATATTATTATATTATATTATCTATCTTTGTTCCAACTGTGTTGAATCTAGGATTATGTTTCCCTGTTTGAGGTACTAGTGTAATTTTCGTTTCATTTTATCTTAATGGGATTTTATTTATTTTAGTGTATTCGGCATGTCTTACATTTCATTTCATTTCATTTTATCTTAATGGGATCAACTATGATTTGTGGGGTATAGAAATTAATTAAACGGATATTTTCAGAAATTAAACATTTTTTTTCTATTGAAATATATAATTCTGAATTCAAAATAAAAAGAAAATGAAATGTATATAATTAGATCTAACAGAATAAATTGAAATGTATGAAAAAATTTATACAAATAATAACAGTAGTGAAGAATTTATGAAATTAATTAGAAATGTATCAAAAATTAAACCAAAAAAAATAATATTAATTAATTTACAACTACCCTCCGTGGACGACAACACCCATCTGCAGCTTCTTCATCTCCCTCTACTGCCATCTCTCTTTTTCTTTTATTCCGTTTTGTCTGATCGAGTATTTGATGACGTTTGATTTACTATTAATGCAATATATATAGATCAAGTTTGTTTTCTAATTACTTTTTTTTAAATCTTATGCATCATGACAAATATTGATTTAATTCGTTTCCTTTTTGGCATGGGTGGGTTTCTAA